TTTGTTGAATGGAAGGGAAGGATGGGCAGGTGGGTAAAGCGACAGATGAATAGACATGCAGGTAAGATTAAAGGAAGCAAGAATGGACGGATGAGAAGGAGGATGATGGATATGACCGATGGACATGTGTGTGGATGGCAGAGGGTCCCTTTACATGAAACCTCGACTGATCATAAACTGTCTACAGCATGAAGAAAGCATCGGCTCTTGTTTCCTCCTGTTTCTTCTTTCCAGGGTTCCAACTGGACCAAAACCAAAAAAAAACCTAGAAGGATCTAGACTGAGAATATTGGTTGAACTGGAAAAACTGAAGTTTGCCAGCTTCCAATCTGTCCTGGGAATGCCACACAGGCAGAAGGAATTCTTGGGAGGAATAATATTTATTGTCATGCTGGCTTTTGCCAAGACCCCAGGCAAAATTCCAAAGGCCATAACATGTCTTTGCCAGGACCTCTTCCTCTCTGATGCTCTGTGCCCCTCATACACGGGAGTTTTCCTAGCAACTTCGTCTCTCCAAATTCTTCTTGGGCTACCTCCTCTGAGTATCCCACGGCCTTATTACCTCGGAGACTTGCTAATTTAATTTATACTAACCTACTGTGAGAATGATGGTTAACCTTCCTACAGCATTATTAAACAAAGCTATACCATTTCAAAAGTGTCCACTGCTAGAGAAGCAAGGAGACACATTCCAGGGAAGAATTCAGGAAGTCTGTCCAGAAGATGGCTCAGTGAGTGTGAGAGCTCACTGGGAAAACCTGGTGACCTAAACTAAAATCCAAAGAAAAAGTGAAGAGGAGATTCAACTCCACAGCGGTGTGTTCTGATCTTCACCCATGTGCCGTGTCACAAGCAAAACTCTATCCTACGAGTATATCACACATAAAGTGGTAATAATTAAATAATTAAAATTTAAAGGACTCTATACATCTACCCCATTAATGTCCTACCCAGCCATGATGTAGCTTCTTGAATAGTTTCTCTGTCTTGTAATACCACGACTTCTAGTAGTTTCTGGAATTCTCCTACTGCCTCTCTGCTAATTGCCTCTCTGCTAACACGACCAATGTTTCCAGTTACCTGTAAAAATGTTGGATGCCCCTGTTCATGCTTCCCATCAAGGCAATCTCACACAGGGTCACCATTTTGAATTCTATCTACATGTCCCTTGCTTGACCTCACAATCCCTGAGGGGAGGGTGCTTGCCTGCATCTTGGTAAACGCAATAAGCTGGAGCCTAAAGAAGGAATGGGATGGAGAAGCTCAGTCACAAAAAAAGTTATACACACAAAAATGTATATGGAAGTTGTATATATTTATGTTTGTATATGTGAATATAAGTATGTCCCATCACAGAGGTAGAAATCAGAGCAATGGAAAAACTTATGAAGAGCAGCCATGGGGTCATCTGTGACTTGACTAGAAGCTTGACCTTCCCAAGCTCTTAGGTTTTCCAATGTGAAGGAAACATATGAGAAGTGTTCTTATTAAAGTTTAGCTCACTGATCAGGAAACCTGGGCTGTTTTACTGATGCAAAATCTATAATCCTTTCTGGTCATTCTTGAAAAATTTTAACTCAATTCAGACTTCACTGCAATAGGGTCACCATCCCTATTGTGGCCATCCTTGGCATGATCACCAAGCCACATAGTATTCTCATTGTAGTACAAAGTTCCAAGGCTAATGACTGCCAGGGAGAGTAAGCCTGCTCTACCAAACTGAATTCCAAATCAATATAATGAACAGTACAATTCTGATCATGACCATGACAGAGCAAGGAAAACATGAAAACTGGAAGTAGAATGTAATAGCATTTTAAAGAAAAAAAATTCCCAGCACTGTTGGTGGGAGAGAGAACTGAATCAGAAACACAAATTCCCACATAACTGAAAATCTAGAACTTAAGAGGCCATCAAACATAAGCAGCAAATTCCAAAGGAGCATCATGATTTCCTACTTCATAGTTGGATGTTTAGTTTTACATACATCGGTTACATTTTAATTCTTATGTCAATATAAAGTCTTCTAGCTCCATTCTTTTGGTCCCCAGGAGGAGCTTCCTGAAGGGGGTAAGGAGAACATTTCTTCCCCCATTTGATTCTTGTATCAGTTCAGGATTGAAAATTAAATACATATAGAAGGCAAGGGTGGCCAGGTGGTGATGGCACACACCTCTAATCCCAGCACTCAGGAGGCAGAGACAGGTGATCTCTGTGAATTGGAGAACTGGCTCATCTCCAGAACTGGTTCCAGAATAGTCCAGGCTACACAGAGAAAGCCTGTCTCAAAAAACAAGACAAAGAAAAGCACAAAAAAAAAAAAAAAAACCAAAAAACCCAGAAAGTCAAAAGTAGACAAGTTTTGTCATTTAACATTGTTGTTTTAAGATATTTAGGTAAAAGTAAACTCAGAAGAAATGCCTAGCAGCGCATGCCCAAAATCACAACACTTTGAGAGGATAGAATGGAAGAGGTATGAGTTTGAGGACAGTTTAGACTACATAGCTTAATTAAATAAAATTGACAAGTAATTCTATCGCGGTAAATAAGGATCAGGATAAACAAATAGGCCGAATAGATGTTTATTCAGGGAGAAATAACTTACAACCTAGACAGATGAACACCAGGAAATTCAACCCAATCCTCTCCTGTCCGAGTCACGCCAGAAAGAGAGCGCCTTTCCTGGCCCCCTCCGACCTCCTTCCACAGGTCACTTCCGCCCATGGCTCCACCCCCAATGGGCGTGGTCAGTGCCACAGAAGGACTATCTCACTACATAATTCTTTACATGAAAAATAGTATTACAATACAAGTTGAATTTTTAATGTTTTATTTATTATTTTACCTTTTTTTTTTTTTTTTTTTTTTTTTTGGTTGTTTAAAAGTCCTGCCTTTTCTGGAACTTACTCTGTAGACCAGGCTGGCCTGAAACTCAGAGATCCACCTGCCTCTGCCTGCCAAGTGCTGGGATTAAAGGCCAATGCCTGGCCTGCAAGCTCAAATTTTTCTATACAAATCTGACTTACAAAAAACTACTGTCATTAGGTGTGATGGTCACTCCTGTGATCCCAGCACCAGAGTGAGAGAGAAAGAGAGAGAGAGGCAGGAGGATGTGGAGTTCAAGACCAGCCTCAGGAAGGAAAAAAAAAAAAAAAAAAAAAAAAGGAAGGGAAATGCATTGCCATGGTACTTGTTGCAGTAAGCAGGATCCACAGCTCAAAACCTCTGCTTCAACACTGCATCTGTCCTTTTGGTGCTTTTCAGCTTGTAAATTAGGTGTTTGGGAGTGTGTGTGTGTGTGTGTGTGTGTGTGTGTGTGTGTGTATGTGTAGTATGTGCGCAAGCGCATGTGTGTGCAAATACTTGTATGTGGGTGTGGCACAACAATGGAACCAAAACGTATTATTGCCATCTACTCTCAGCCCAGCTCATGCCTCCCTCCCTCTCAGAACTCACTAGAGTTCCCCCTGGGGATTAAACCAGCTGTAGCAGAACCTCACTGTCTGGGTTCTTAGTAATGGTCATTGAGCTGGGCTCCTGCTCCTTTAGCTTTGGACTAAGTGTGCTCTGCTCACCGCGGTCCTTCTACCCACACTGGACACCCTGTAAGGCTAGCTGCCAGTGCAGCTATTCCTGATCCCAGCGCCCATCAATGAGACCAGCAGAGCGGGTGGCTGGGCCAAACCTTCCTTACCTATCCTCCTAATAAAAGCCATGCATGTTCTCAGGCAGGTGATCTCAATTTCCTCCCCTGCCTGCAAGATAACAGGTGGATAATAATGCGCCCTTCATTTCCTTTCACTGTATCTACCTTTTGCAGAGCTGACCCTTGAGCTTGCTTCCAGTAGGCCTTATCACCTTCTCTTGAGGCTACAGAGCCACCTTAGGGCTGGTACCGCCCACAGGATACTTAGAGCAGGCATTTCCCCCTGGGCGTTATGTTATCACTGCTAGCCAGCTGCATGTTCTTGCCAACTTTTTCAACTTCTCCGGGCCCTTACTTTCAGGCTGAGATGTTCATTTTCCTATGAGATCCAGGCATTACCTTTGCTGTCACAGCGTCTCTGCCACCGAACCAACTCGCTTAACTACACCAAACCACTTGGAGCTAGACACAGCATGCCGGCGTGGAAATGCACTTTCTCGTACTTAATTGCTCAAACCTCACTCTCCACGTGTCAGCGTGACTTCACAGAGCAACTGTGAGAACTTGTGGCTTGCTCTCACGTGTGAGAATTCCTTTCTGGGCGCTGAAATGCCACTTCCTTCTGTCCTTTCCCAAGAAGGTCCACTGGAACTTTCTGGAAGGATCTACCATCCCTTTATCTAGATCAATTAGTCAAAGTAATCATACCACCGATCCCAGAAACATACTCTGGGGTCCAATGAGGGTGTGTGTTCAGCATCCCACCATCTCGGAATACGTCAACATAAGGAGCCCGTCTCATGTGAATAGGCACCTGTTTTGTGTTTTATTCCCCCCCCCCCCGCCCAGGTTCGTGTTAATGGTATACTTCTCAATAGAATGGAACCGAGACCAGCAGGAACTGAATTCCCCTTCTCCTTCGGGAATAGCCATCTAGTCCTCTTGAACTTTCTCAAAACTCAGAAAAAGTAAAGAAAAGGAGAAAGGGTTGAAAATGAGACAGATGTAACCCACCTTTTTGGTATTCTTCAAATTCAAACACTGCTAGAAGAATTTGGATTTTCAGGTGGCCACCAAAACAAGAAGCCATTGCCCAAGACTATATACCATAGGGAGCCATATGCTTGGCTTGCAGTTGTCTAGATGCAGACTCTGACTGACAAGCTATTAGTGACGCCAGGACGGGAAAGGAACGAATACAGATAATGCAGAAAACAGAAGAGTCCCAGACACCCAAACACCCTGGCCTCTCGGTTGTCACCTACACTAACCGCTGCAGAGGCGCCAGGCCTGGTCCCCTCCCACCGCGTCTCTAAGACCGGCCCCAGGGTGGGGGTGGGGGGCTCCTCCTTACCTTGCGCGAATACGGGGGCTTGCTCAGGTGGATGCCATCACGGACCAGCTTATCCCGGATCATGATCTTCAGCTTCAGCTTGGGGTAGCTCACCAGCTCCCTGCTGCGGGGAGCGCTCGCCTGGCCGCGGGGGTCCCCGCGAGTGCCCTGGGCAGAGCTGCCACATGGCTCCCCCCGGCGGCCCGGGGGCACCGCGTCCACCTGCGGTGCGGGTGGCACCGGCTGCGGCTCGAGCGTGAAGTAGAGGCCGGCGGCGGCCGCATCCTGCTCCCGCAGCCGGCACACAGCCTCCAGGATGCGCCTGCGGTGCGCTGGAGCCAGCACCCCGATGGCGTCCAGGTCCGGGTCTCCGATCTGCTTGCACACTTCCAGGTCATCATAGCCATTATCCACGAAGGATTCGGCGTACTGCGGGAGCTGTAACGCTTTCAGCCACTCGTAAACTATGTTGGTGCACATGGCTGAGACTGGGAACTCGCGGGCGAGTACCCAAGTGGCACTGGCGGCACCAGTTCTTGGAACTTTTAATCCTCTCCCGGAAGGGGGTGGGGAGAAGAAACGGCTGGAAAAGTTTCTCCGTTAGTGGGTAGGCTCCGGCCGCAGAGCCAAAGCCATGGGAAGCAGCCTGGGAGAGAGCGAGCGTGAGCCAGACGCGTCTAGCAGCGAACTGGATTCCCCGAGCAGGCGCGGCGCTCGCGGGTACTGGTGGCTGGGCGAGCCGCTCGGCTCCGCGCCGCCCCTGGATGCTCGGCCTCCGCGGGGAGGGGCGCGCGGGCGGGGCCGGGCACAACCCTCGCAGCCGCGCGGGTCACCGTCGCGCCGCGCCGCCCAGGAGTTTCCCCAGCCCGGACAGTCTGGGGGCTGCGCGCTGCATGTCGCTTTCTGGCCGCCGCCGCCGTGGGCGTCTCTGCACCCGCGTCCCACGCTGGGGAGGCGGCTCCCGCCGGCAGATCGGCGGATGCTGGGGAGCGCCTGGTCTGGGCGCGTGTCAGTCACTGTCGTTCCCGGGGTCACACTGACCCGGTGGCTATTAAGCTTCCGGACACCGGTGGCTACCCTTGATCTCTTTAGACATTTCTGTTGACGCCGACTTCTCTAAACCCTTGGATCTCTCTTCGCTCTGTTCCCAAGCCTATAGTGACTCTCGCTGGCAGGTCCCAGCCACACCACTGGGGTGAGCGAAGCTGTTGAGTCCAGTGTCCCTTCTGCCTTCTCGATGCACGTTAGACTATCCCTTCCAAGGAGCCTGCTGCCAGGCTCGAGTCTCACGGTGTGTCTGTCTCTGTGATCCTGCGCTCTGTGCCCAGAGCAGCAGCGTTTTGGCAGCAGGGTGGGCACTACGTGGGGACCGTCCAGCCTGATGAGTGCGCGGCCCCTCCTTGCTACAGCTAGTCACGCCGAGTGGGTATCGGGAGCGGCACTGCTGCTCCCGATTGCCTTGCCCTTCCAGGACCTTCAGGATGGGCGAAAGTTGGATGGCTTGTTACTTTGTCCTTGGCCAGCTCATCCCTACCTGGACCGCATACCCCTCACCCCACCCCAGCCCCCATCCTCCGCACACACCTTGTTGTGTCAGACCCCCTCAATCTCGCCTGCTTTTTTTTTTTTTTTTTTTTTTTTTTAAGCCTTTTCTCCATCTCTCATCACAATCATTCTACCCCGGGTGGGCGATTGCATGCCCAGGGACACGTGTGTGCCTCAGACACTGGGAATCACAACAGACTGTTCCTTCTCTGCCCCCAGGATCGCCTGTTAATCGATACACCACGGTGTAGCTTGCTTTAAAAAGAACGCTAGGCATCTAGCACGTTCTGTCTAGATGAGAGTGACAAAATCCAGCCGAGATTCCCCCTGGTGCCATGTCCAGCTTCGAAGGTGTGGGGCAGGGGACCTGAGCTCCTGGACAGCCTTTCCCTGGGTCAGGTCTTTTGAGGAGTGGATAAAACCTTAAACCGGGAAGGCAACACTTTGCTCCCTTTTCACAGAAGTAAGATTCAGCCACATTCTTGAGCTACAGTTTGAAGACCTGACCCATACATACCTTTTTTCCCTGAAGGCGGCCTCACGGGGCTGTGACTGTCACTGGCCATGACATTGATGGGTGGGCACGGGTGGCTTTTCAGTCCTTTTCCTAACTGCAGGGCCTCAGGTTGTGGGGAAGGGATTGTCTCTGTGTCCTTCCTCCTCTAAATTAGCGGAGCCTAAGCCCCCTTGGAACATGGGCACTGAGCATTGGGTGTTATCTTTACATCCTGGAAGATACCAGATATAGGTGCACCCGAAAATGGTCCCACATTTCTACAGTTATGGAGGTGGAGGAGGGGGGCTCCCAAGCTCCTGGACCCAAGAATCTTGCATTGAAAAATAGCTGCCAGAATGAATCTTATATTTGGGTAGAGGAGAAAGATGATGTGAGTAGTGGTGGGGTTGCATCTGTCCCGTCCCCTGCCCTAGATAACCTAAATTGCCCTTCCCAGAGGCTGGATTAAGGTCCTGGACCGGTGCTGTGCTGCGGGTAGCATCCGACCCTCCCTATCTAACACAGCTCACAGCCAGGCCCCTATCCCCTGCCAAAGCAAGCTCACAGTGCCCCCTCGCGTCCAAGTGCTGGAAGTTTAAGGCGTTGCCCGTGTCCCAAACTTGTTTTGTTCAGCCTAAGAGGGTTTTGTGCTCCCGAGACACCTTCAAGTACAGATAACGTCCTCACGGGTACCTTTGTATGATCTCAGTACGTTGTCCTGAAAACCTTTGAAGTTGGGAGAGGCGAATATTCCAATGGTTTCAAAATAAATCTGTCGCAAGGGAAGAGAAGTCATCCTCAGATACACATTTGGAAGTTGGTAACCTATGCCATGCATTCCCTTTTACGTCTCTACGTGTGGTAAATAGCATCTTCCAGAAAAAGAAACATTCTCTGAAACATTCAGTCCCCGTCTGTTCAAGATAGAGTCCAGGGGTAGAGAACCATGGAGAAACCCAGGGCCAGGCTTCCAGCCACTGGGCTTTCTGATCCCCAGCAGCTGCTAGAGTAACAAGCAGGAAATGCTGGGCTAGTTGTGAAAGCTGCATCTCTTATTTTTGATATTTCGGATTTTTTTTTTTTTTTGAGGATGCTTAAAGCTCTTGAGTTTATTGCCATGGTTTTTCTTTCCCAAGTTGTGTGAAAAGTCCAATAACATTACTTAATAGTCCTTTGCCTTCTCAAACGCAGCCTCTTCCCCTCAGGGAGCCTAGGGGCATTCATTTTGTCTCGTTAATCTTCAGCGAGCCAGTGAGTACTTTTATTTCCATTTTTACAATTAGGGAAACTGTATTGGAGGAAGATGAATGGCTTGCCCAAGGTCATATGGTAAATCAGGATAAAGATAAGAAGAAGCTGGTCTTGTTGAAGCCTCTACTACTCCATGGGAAGCAGGAATTCTCCCTTATTTATGTTCAGGACACTGTCCAGTTGGGGAATAAAGCATCCCTCTCAGTAGGGGATGGTTTTATGAATTAATCATTCGTTAATCAGTCATAAATAATCTCCTGGCTTTTGACTTCTTTTCCCTCTTTTGCACACTTTCCCTGTTCTTGCTCAGGTCTCTCCATGAAGCTGGAGATCTCTATGCCTCTGCTGCTGCCATAGCAAAGCTCTTTATAGACTATTTTCCAAGTCCCCAGTGCTGAACTTCTCCAGTCTGCACTTGACCCTACTTCCTATGGAGGCACCTGGCTATAGTCCAGAAAGAAAAGACAAACGATGGGGAGGGGTGTAGAGAAGATGGGTCAGGGGACAGGGTAACTTGCTGCATGGAGTTCCTGTCCTGAGTCTAGACCCTTCCGCATCTAACTAAAAAGAGTTAGGCTAGCTGTGTGGGCGTGGGTCTGTAATGTCAGTCCTGGGAAGAATGGTGGGTCAGAGACAGGTAGATCGCAGGAGCACTTGAGAGGCAAAATGGGGAGGTCCAGGTTCATTGAGACCCTTTCTCATAAAATAAGGTTGATAGTGATCTGGGAAGCTTTCAGAGCAGACTTATGGCCTGCACACACAGGCAGTCACCATGTGTGCACATACAAAGAAGTGACTATTTTTAAGATTTAGAAGCCCATTCTGTAGCAATTGTAGCATCCAAATTTACATAGAGGAAGTACAGGTCCAGGAAATGTAACTCGGGTTTCCTATCGAAGTTCACATATATGACTGACCTAATTTCTCTTTCCCTGGCCTTGTACAACATTCTCTCTTTCTACCTGGTTTTTGTCAAAAATCATGTTTTCGTGTTTATTCGTCCATGTTTATTGACTAGATAGTACCAGACACAAAAACAAAAGGGAACCAGCTTTTTCTTCATTAATGGGAGAGATTTCACCGTATAGAAATTTAACTGGCAGGTTTTTTTTGTTGTTGTTGTTGTTTTGTTTGTTTTTAAGTACTGACCATATCTGAGCCAGTTTAGCTTCCAAAATCAGGTACACCAAGGGACCTGTACTCTGAATTTTGTAAACCACACTGTACTGGCTGCTATTGTGTGTCAACTCAACACAAGCTAGAGTCATCCGAGAGGAAGGAGCCTCGGCTGAGGAAAGGCCTCCATGAGATCCAGTTGGAAGGCATTTCCTCAATTCATGTTCAATAGAGGAGGGCACAGCCCATGGTGGGTGGTGCCCTCCCAGGGCTGGTGGTCCCCGATTCTATAAGAAAGCAGGCTCAGTAAGCCATGGGAAGCAAACCAGTAAGCATCACCCCTCCATGGCCTCTGCTTCGGCTCCTGCCTCCAGGATCCAGCCCTGCTTGAGCTTCTCACTTCCTCCAATGATGTACTATAATGAATAAGTATAATTTCCTCCCCAACTTGCTTTTTGGTCATAGTGTTTGGTCACAACAGTGGAAACCCTAAGACACATACTATTAACCAGATTGTGAAATTGAACCTTGGCGTTCAGAACGCCCCCCCCCCGCCCCACTCAAGGCCCCCTCACAGAGAGGAAACAGGGGCAGAGAGAGAAACGAAGAACAGGCAAAAAGAGGGAGGGAGGGAGAGGGGGGAGGGGGAGGTGGGCAGGACCCTTTTTAAAGGGAAAGTAACGAATGTGCACAGGTGGTGCACTTAGTGGCTGCAGCAAGGGCCTATCCTGTCAGGACCCCAAGGGCAGGCCAGGATAGGTGCCTGAATACTAACATGAGAGATTTTTGATGGGTAATGTTTTCTTAGGGATTTTTTTCTTTAAAGAATTTTTTTTTTAAATGATGCTGATTGTTATTTACTACATTGAGGTTTGGGCTCCTTTCATTTGAGTGGCTCATTGATTAACTAGGTTTTATTTACAGCAGTTTCTTTAAATGAAAACCGCTGGGAAAATGGATTACGGGGAAAAGTTTCTATTTAAATACCATTTCAGAACTATTTTGCAATGATAATAACTGTGGAACTCGCAAAGTTAACACTGACATTCTCAGTGTAATTAATGATAATTATATTCAGGTTTTAAAGTCTAAATATCAAAAAGCAGCTTTTCTGCTCAGTAACTTGATTCGGGGTTGCCAGATGAAAAAAAAAATAATTTGTTTTGAAATTTTCCTGGTGTTAGGTACATAAGGTTCCATACTATTTTATTTAGAAGACAAATGCTTGTACCTAGTGTGTATAAGAATTAAATTCCATTAACATCTATTAAACGTCAGTCCCCTGGGTATCTAGCCTTGT